CACAACATGAATTGCCCCAGACATAAGCCACCCCCCTTCTTTCTCCCCCCCAACCAAATACCCCCATCTTTCCCTTTATCTTCCCCCCCCCCAAGCCAATCACCCCCTTCTTTCTCCCCTCCTTTTCCCCTAATTTTGAGCCCGGCAGCGGTGGCAGTGCCTGGGAGGCCGAGCCAGTGCAGGCTCAGCCATAAAGCCACCCGCTGGTTTCCATCCCTCTTTGCTCCTGGCTTCCCAAAAGTGGAAAAGCCTGCAAAGGCCTCGTCGCTAGGAAAGCCGTTGCTAAGGGCCCTTCGGTGCTCAGAACTTTCCAAGGAGACAGAGGGAGGGGGAGAGAAAGCTCCTCGTCGTTGGTAAGTCCTTTCTCTGAGCATGAAAAGGCTGTTGTACTTTTGGGGGTATTTAAATATCCCCCGTATCCTTTTAAAAAGTTTTTAGATTTTTCTGCGCAGCTGGGGGGTGCCCCAAATGTGCAGGATAATCTCTTTTCCCTCCATGTGCCCCTGATCTGCGGAAATAAGTATCCGCACGCAGGGGGCCATGTTGGGAATTAGATATATAGATTTAAAGAGTGCTAGTGTTTTAAGCATGCTTTATTTAAAGTTTAAAAAAATCTTTGTGTTTGTCTGTGTCCTTTATAAAGTTTATATCTCTGCTACCTGGCATTACATTTTATGACACACACGGCCTGACCAAGCAAGGTCTCATTTATGTCAAATCTGGCCCTCATAACAAAAGAGTTCGACACCCCTGAAATATATAGTGAATGTTTTGTTGGTTAAACTATAAACTTGATTCTGGGTCACATGTGCTTGAAATCATGGGTACATTGATTTTTTTGCTTTGGCAAGGGGGATTGAGGTTAGGAAGACACCCCCCCCACACACACACCCCACACACACACCCCTCCTCAGGGCACGGTGGTCTCCTGTCCAAGTCCTAACCCCACTTCCAAGGTCTGACAAGATAGGGCTATACCACGACGCCTTCCCTCTCTGGTCCCACGCTCACCTCATCATGTTCTGTTGTTTGCCTATCGGCATATCAGCATTTCATCAATACCTGGACTTTATATAGAGAAGTGTAGCATGGTTACATTCTATTGTTGACCACCAAGCCAAACAGAGCAAAATAAAAATGAGACAGACTAAATTGTTAGGGTGGGGAGAGCCCATTAACACGGCCCTAGAGCCTACCGCATTCTGGAATGCAGAATCCAGCACTGCGGTTGACTACAGAGCGGAGTAACTTCAAATAAAGCAAGAGACATCTGAGTGGGTGTGTGTGTGTGTGTGAAAAACCCAGAGTGAAGCTGTCAGAGCATGACGTGCTATGAGGTGGCAGCAACAGCATTAAAAGAAAAGCTTTGTTTCACTGTCGCTGTTGCATAGGCCAGCTTGTAGGCAGCTCAAGTCCTGAGTCTTAAGAATTGACAGTTGTGATGAATGCTCCCTCTAAGCTGTGGAGTCTTGTGAGCAAAAATTCTACTTTGTGAGCTCCTGGCATTAAAGTTGTGAGCAAGCGATTCGGCTCCTGCATAAATTAGTTTACTTTGGAGTTATCCTTCCTGAGCTAAGACAAAAATGTGTGAGCTGGAGGCCAAAAAACGGTGAGGTAGCTCACTCTCACTCAGCTTAGAGGGAACACTGGTTGTGTGACACTTTTGCCCAAGTTTTCTTTTGCAAACAGAATTTCTCAAACCATTCTTATTTATTCTGGCAATGGAGATATTGGCTATAAAAACCAGACAAGACATTAGGATTGCTGGAATAAAAGAAGATGAAGAAGAATATAAGATGAAAAGCTGTGCGGCTGATAAAACCAAACATTTCCTTGAAATATACAGTGGAACAAATAACTAGATTTGGAATTTATTCTGGATATAAATTGAATAAAAAGAAGACCAAGATAATATTATTAGCAGCAACCAAAGCAGAACAAGAAGCGATCGAAAAAAATAACAAAAAGTGCTGTTACTAAAAACACAATAAAATAAAATATTTGGGTATATATGTTAACATAAGAGAAGCCAATGCTGGATCAGGCCAATGGCACATCCAGTCCAACACTCTGTCACACAGTGGCCAAAAATACCAGGGGCCATCAGGAGTTCCAGCAGTGGGGCCAGGACACTGGAAGCCATCCCACTGTTGCCCCCCCCCCAAGCACCAAGAATACAGAGCATCCCTTGCCCCAGCCTGAGAGTTCCTATCTATACCTTGTGGCTAATTAGCCACTGATGGACCTCTGCTCCATATGCTTATCTAATTCCCTCTTGAAGCCGTCCGTGCTTGTAGCCGCCACCACCTCCTGTGGCAGTGAATTCCATGTGTTAATCACTCTTTGGGTGAAGAAGGACTTCCTTGGATCTGTTCTAACCCGACTGCTCAGCAGTTTCATGGAGTGCCCACAAGGAGTTCTTGTATTGTGAGAAAGGGAGAAAAGTACTTCTTTCTCAACCTGCTCTATCCCACGCATAATCTTATAAACCTCGATCATGTCACCCCTCAGCCGTTGTTTCTCCAAGCTAAAGAGCCCCAAGCACATAGGGAAAGTGTTCAGGACAAAGTGAACATGTTACAGGACAAAGTGAACATATTACCAAAGTTGACTTTTTTGTTTCAAATGTTACTGAAGTGTAGTGGGTTAGACGCATGAATGAAACCCCGAGACTGATGTAGTGATCAGCATGGTTTACTGGAACACAACATAAGGTAGCAAACAACAGCCAGCTGGCCAACTATATACAAACCAGGGGACACACCCCTGGGTCCCATTGGCGGGTTTAAATCTCCCGCCAAGGTCCCATTGGTCCCCCAATGGAGGGACCAGGAGCCTAGTCCCTATTGTTACTCCGGATTCAAGCTCCGGAGTGTGCGCTGGCCTTTGGTGGCGGTCAGCGGACACAACAGTTACCAATCCATATAGATGAGATTTTTTAAAAAAATGGCAGAAAATGAGAAATAACTTTGCCTGGAGCTGGAAGAAGCCAAGAATAAGAGTTAAAATATTACAGGTTGGGGAAAAAAGAGGTGGCTTAGCTGTACCAAATATCAAATCATATTGCCCAAGCAGCCACACTATTCTGGATGTCAGACTGGATTATAAATCCAAATCGAAGGAACGTTAAACTGGAGACAATTTATTCTAAAAAAGGAATCCACAATTATTTCTGGATGAAGAAATCATTAATAAAATGTTCAAAGGCAAGATGGTGCTCATACTTTGAGGGATGGTCTATTAGGAATATGGTGTTGCTGCAGAAACAGAACAAGCCTGCTAACTTTGCCATTGACATTCCCAATGGGTGTCTATTGTGACATCAGCATAAGAAATAAAATTGATTGTATAAATTATGCGTGTATGATGGAGAAACAAGGGGAAATAAGAACCTGGCAAGAAATTCAGGATGAAGGGGAAAGTATTCCATGGTTGTGATATTATCAAATGGTATTATCTGAATTAAAAGAACAAATAGCCAAAGAAAGGGGCCAGTTAAGAGAGAAAACAACCTTTGAACAATAAATCACCGGAGATTCAGATCACCTATTAGGGAACATTTATAAAATATTATTGCAATATGATGCAGAAACAGAGCAAGTAAAAAAAACTGTATGACAAAATGGATGCAAAACCTTGGACAAAATGTATGCATGAGTCAGTGGGAAAACTTATGGATTAAAAAATTAAATTTACTGAATGTCAAATATTAAGGCAATATATATTTGTAATAAAATCAGTTATGAAGTTACATGGAAAAGATAGAAGAAAGATATTTAAATAGAAGTGAAAAATCAAGAGTATGTGTAAGTTATGTATAAATATTGACAATTAATTGAATGATTTAGTTTATTGTAGTTTATGATTTTTTTGTATGTTAGATGATTGTGTGTATATTCTGTGTATGATTGAAATTATCGTGATGATCGTAGATTATTGTTTATGTTCCGTGCATCATGATGATTGTTGGTGATTGTAGTTTTATATTTGTGTGTTTGTAAACTGAAATAAAAAACTTTAAAAAAAAAGAATGTCTCAAATATGCTCTGATCTGGATACCAGTTGTAATATGCTTCAGGCAGTAGAAGCATCTAGTGGATTTGTGGATCACTTTGACTTGGTGGTCACAATAGATTCGAAAGCTGCCCCTGGCCCTCCCGATCCCCATCCATCCTGGCAAGTGACACGTTGTCAGGAGCGGATCAGTGAGCCTCTGAGGCCCGTGGTGAATCCGTCCTTGATTCAGGGTGTTTTCCCTCAGCGACTGAAGGAGGCTGTGCCCCGTTAGTTCCTTTAAACACCACCACTGGGAAAGAATGGTGTGGCCAGTGACTGTCTGGTCCCTCATCTGCCCTTTCTGGGCATGATAACTGGGAGGTTGGTGACAGATCTCCCTGGATGACGCACCAGCTCTGGACTCCCTTCAGTGGGTTGATGCTGGTAGTGTTGGTTGACAATTACCATTTGAAAGTAGTCAAAGGCTGTGCTTCTCGGTAGCTGCTATTGGGTATGGTGGACAGGCCACTCTACTGAGACTGCCGAAGGCACAGGCAGTTGTCAAGGGATGCACTCTGGAGTGGTTTAAGTCCTTCCTTATGGGCTACACCCAGAAGGTTGCTCTTGGAGAACATTTGTCCATATGCTGTGGGACTGTTCTACGGAGTCCAGTTTCTACCTCCCATGCCATTTCAGTCTCTATGTAAAGTCCCTTGGGAATGCTGATGCCTAGGGGAACATGGGGGGGCTCTCACATGCCGGTGAGACCCACACTGTCAAAGAGTCCGACCCACTGAGCATGGGCTGTGCTTGCTTTTCTGCAGCTGGAGCACTACCAAGGACAGCTGGCAGAGCTACAGGAGTCCGTGGAGTATGTGCGAGCCCTCAACGAGGTCATCCAGCAGTGCTTCCGCCCACTCAGCTCCAGCGAAGAGACCCTGGAAAACTCGGTGAGGGCCCTGTGCTGGCTGTTACAAGTGGCCCACCAGAAGTTCCAGGAAAAGCTGTTATCCCTTTGGGCTGTCCTGTCGAGCCTGGCTCTTGATGGTGGGGAAGCTGTCTTATACGCCATCATCAGAGCATTGGCCAGTCAAGGTCAGTCTTGTCTCCTTTGATTGACTGTGACTCTTCAGGGCCTCAGGTGGAGGTCTTTCGCGTCATCCTGCCTAGACCCTTTAACTGGCGATGCCGGGGACTGAACCTGGAACCTTCCGCATGCAAAGTAGATGCTCTGCGCCTGAGCCACAGCCCCTCCCCAAGGGTCTCTCCTGATGGCCGTTGAGTTTTAAGCTGTTTTTGGAAGTAGGGGATTTGCAAAAGGCCATTGGAGGGCGCTGATGTTGCTTCCCCTGGTTCCTGCCTGGCTTCGACCTGCTAAGTCCGTGTCTTTGCAAACAGACAAATACAAAAAGTACCACGAGTCTCCAGTGGCTTCTGTCCGTGGAAGGCTGGCCCCACAAAGGCAGTATTTCCTGTGTCTCAGCAGCAAGGCCCTGCAGAGAAGGGAGGGGTCTCAGGGGGACCCACTGAAATACACACACGGGCAGGCTCTTCCGGCCGGGATGGCGCCCCCCCCCCGGTTGTTCATTTATCTTTTTAAATTTAGGAAAGTGACTGCTTGAGGAAGTTTACGAAATAAAACATAATTAGAAACACAGCACAATACAAAGTTAACAATTAAAAAACCCCTTTTAAAAGCCCAGCCAGGGCATAAACACATCATGAAACAACAAACAGCAGAGAAAAGAGCCTCAGAACAATTCTCTGGCCAGAAAGAAACAGACTATAAAGTGATGCTAAAAGATGTTAACAATGTTATTTAAAAGCCTGGGTGGAGAGAGATGTTTTGGCCTGAGCTGGCACCAGGCAGGCAGGCCTCAAGGGGAAGGCCATGGGCTGAGACAGCCCCG